CCTGCCACCCTCCCCCCAGCTGTGCGGTCTCTGCAGGGTCTTCAAACAGGTAAGACCCTCGCCCCAGGCCTCGCACCTGTGGGCCGCGCTTCCCCACACATGCCCACACCCCACACCTTGCCTCTCTCAAATGAAGCCTTCGACACGCCTCAGCCTGCGTGTAGTAACTCTCGGCCTTCTACTTGTGGCTGTCCACACTGGAGCAGTCGCCCTCCCCCAAAGGAGAGTGTTCTTTGGAACGTTTCGTACCTGAGTAAGGGCATCGCTGTGGCAGTATTTCTGAAGTGCTCTCTTGCTGTGAAATGACGTGAGAGACACTTGAAGCTGCATCTTATTCTACTTCAGGAGTCTTAGAACCTGTGGGCCAGCAGGTGGCGTGGTAGGTAAGGAGCTCCCCGGAGGGCAGTTTCTCACTTTCCCTCTGTCTCCAAGGAGTGCGCGCACCCTACAGCGAAAGGACTTAAAAAGAAAACAACACACTGCATAAAACAACAGAAGACCCAAGTCAAAGTTTGGGGGAAAGCGACATTTATTTAATAAACGATCACTAATAAAGTGAGAGGCGATGAATGTCATGACTTAAGGGGAAATTTCTAAAATGTAATAGACGTGCTGAAGTTTGAAGTGCCAGCAAGACGGCACTGGTGGGAAGCCTAAGGACGCAGTCAACAGGAAACGCCCTCGCACGGCAGTCTCGGGAGGCTGGACCGCAGGGCAGGACTTTACGAGTAGGTGGGTGCAGCTTGTGTTAAAATGTTATGCTGCTCGGCTTTATACAATGGAGGCTGGCGAAGAAACTAAGTGGAGTGAACACTGATGCGCCTTCACCCCAGAACCCCGTGCCAGTGGCACGGAGAAAGCCCTCAGGTACAGCTCATTCCTACCAGCACAGGAGACACCGCACTGGCAGAGAGCCTTAGAGACCCCACGGGTTTGGGGAACAACAGCCACCGCAAAACAAGCTCTGCTCAGAAGTTCAGACAGATTGATTGGACTTCAGAGAATTCAGAACGGCACATGCCGTGGCCCAGCCACGGGGATGGACCTAGCTCAGCTACTGTGCTCCTGGGCTAGAGCCACGTGGAAGACTCGGGTTAGATTCCTGGTCCAACCTCGAGACGGGCACAGTGGCGTGCACCTGCATCCCAGCATGCATGGAGGCAGAGGCAGGACGCCTGGGCGAGGTGCCGGGCAGCACGGCCGGATCGTCTTTACAAAACAGCCAGGCTGGGCCAGCCTCGAGGTGGTTAAGGCAGCTGGACCTCACATGGCCGGCTCTATGGTTCAAGCCCCAGACCTGGCAGCTTGAGAAACACCCTGGGCATGGGTGCATGTGTGCCTCAAATCCAGAAAGGTGGGAGAAGAGGAGAAGGGATTCCAGCGTGACCATCTCTCTGGGGGTGATTTCTCATCCCCCCATCTCTCTCTCTGGTGAGTGCAAGCATTTCACCCTCTGATAAAATAATAGTAATAAAAAAACCCAAGCATGGTGGCAGGTGCCTAGTCCCAGCTGGGAGGCTAAGGCAGGAGCGTCATGGCAGGGCGAGAGCCTGTCTTTATAAAACAAGAGTAAGAATAAAGGAGGGGCACCGTTAGGAAGCTGTCAGCTTTCACTAACCACAAACGGAGGTCAAAGGGGGAAATCTCGGGACCAGCACTTAGCTTAGTGGCTACGACACTGGACTCCCATGTAGTCGGCCACAGTTCGAATTCTGGACCCAGTTGGCTTAAACTCACGCCGGGCGCGTGTGCGTGCCCAAGATCCCAAGAGGAGAATGAAGGAGAGGGGATTGTGGCGTGGCCATCCCCCCGGGGGGTGATTTCTCGCTTTCTAGCTCTCTGCCGCTCTCTGTCTTTCTGGCGAGCCCACGTGCCCTATAGCAAACATCTCTCCAAAAAAAACAAACAACCACAGAAGGGGGCATCTCACGCACACGGAGGCGGAGGAGCCGTCCTGTAGAAGTCAGACCTGCACACGCAGAGAAGTCAGGAGAAACGCCTGGCGAGTGCACTAACATGGCCACACTGTGGTGGTACAGGGTGCCCGTGAACACGACTTCCTGGCCTGGAGGTGGCCCATGAGTGCTCTTAGCATGAGGAAGCCTGAGAGGAAGGCTCCTACCGGAGACGGATGAGTGGCCAGCACCCGAAGGCCGTGGGCGGGAAGCCAGGACAGTGGGAGACATGGCTGGGGAGCCTCTCCACGCAGCCACCGGGGGCAGCATTCTGGCTCTGTCCCTGGGTCAAGAGCCGGCGGATCATGGGAGTGCGACCGGAGCATGGGGCCGGCTGGACTAGACGCCAAATGCAGGACTCACCGGGGAGCTGCGTGGGCAGCAGCACTAGGGGACAGAGAGTGGGGACCTCACTGGGCGCTGGCCTCTGAGCTGCCTTGGGAGAAAACCCCACCGGGAATGCATTTGGAAATAGCGGGACTGTCGGCACTCACACCGCGGGGATACCCCAGAAGTGCAGGAAACGGGGGTGGGGGAGGCGAGCCCGCCAGGCTGCCGTGAGGGCGCCCTGCTGCTGCGGATTCAGGCAGGATGCCTGGCCCGGGCCAGTGTGCCCCGGGGCTCCTACAGGGACAGCTCGGGGTCACATCGACCGACCAAGGTTCACACTCGGATTCAGTTCCAACCATTAGCTATTAGGGACTTCACGCTGATAAAACCAAATAGCCAACCAATGTAAATTCCCTTAGGAGACAGAATTCCATATCGGAAACCAAGGTTTCTATTTTTTACAAAATCTTCGTGAAAGCGTAGCCAGCGTCTTCCTGCCCTGCCCAGGCCTGCCTCTCCGAGCCGACTCCGCAGGACGAGGGAGGAGTGTTTCTGCTGGCCGAAGCTGGCCGCTGGCACCTATCCTCCCACGGCACAGCCCTGTCCCTGCTCCGACACGGAACGCGTGGACACCGGGGCAGCGAATGCCACCTGCTCCTTTCTTCTCACACTGTGACGTCGCACCGTGTCTCCAAATTCAGGGGGGCGATTTCCGGGAGCACACGTGGGCCAGGCCTCACGGGAAGCACTGCGAGTAACCTCATGGGGTGCGCCTGTTCCTTGGTCACTCCCGGCAGCCGCAGGCCCGCCCCTCTGCCCGCAGGGCTGTCCCCGGGCGTCGCCCTCTTGGCAGCAGAATGTTGACCCGACCCTGAGTGGCCTTGAACCCCAGAGTGCTCTTGCCTGAGGCTGCACCCCCGCAGCCCAGCCCCGTATTTCAGTTGGGCTCCTGGGCTCCCGTCTCTACGGCCAGGCTCTGGTCCCGGGGTTCAAAGGGTGGAGCCCTCGGACCGCACCTGGCTGGCTTTGAACTCCAAGGCAGAGAGCGTGTGGCGTGCATCGAACCTCTCCCCTCTCCAGATGGAGGAACGCTCCCACCACGGGCAGAAAGCTGTCTGCCAGAGGAAGCGAGGCGGGTCAGCCTGGGTCCGGTGCTTCCTCGAGGCCTGTCCCTGCCCGCGTGGCTTCATGGCCGCCCTGCCTCCGGCTGCTCACTGTGGACCCGAACTCCGCAGCCTCCACCATGAAGCCAGGGGCAGGAAGGAACGGGAGGGCAGCGGGCCGTCCGCAGTCCCCGCTACTTGGGATTTTCTGCGTCCTCGCTCTTGGGCGGGGGTGCCGCTGCTGAGGGCGCCTTGAGGCTCCGCTTCCGCTTCTGCACGTTCTGCTCCGGATGGAACAGGATGACGTAGGTTTTGGGCACATAGAGCATGCCGAGGGACACGGACGCGCTCAGGCTCAGAGACACGGTCAGCGTGGCGGTCTGGATGTAGATCTGGACATGGGGCAGGCGGGGGGCCCAGCCGTCCTCCCTGCCTGCCCCGCTCCCACTTCTCGGGGACCGAGGAGCCTGTGTCACCGGGGCGGGGTGAGCGGGGCCCGGCGGCACGCGAGAGTGGCAGTGATGGCACGGCTTGGTGTATGCAGGAAGGAGGGCGCGTGACACAGGCCTGAGGGGCAAGGGACTGAGGGAAGGCAGGCTTATTGATGGTGACCCTGGAGAAACGGTCCTCCGCCCCACGAGGGCGTGGGCGTGTGTCCTCCGTGACGTGCATGAGCGAGAGAACGGGTCGGATGAAGGAGCAGATGGGCAAGTCCGCGGGGGACACGGGAATAAGCCACTGTCCCACTGCGCAGGTGCGTGATGTCGCAGCGGACTGAAGGACCAGTGGGCTGACAGGTGTACAGCGAGTGACAGGGTTAGAGGCGCGGGGAACCGAGCGGGTGAGAAGGGGCGGGCGAGCGAAGGAGGGCTGGCTGAGCGGGCAGGGGTGTGGATCCACAGGGCGAGCCGTCTGCAGGGGCTGGCGCTGGGGGGCGGGGGGGCCCGCAGGGGCACCGCCCGCGCCCCGGCCCGCGCTCACCTTGTCGGCCGACTGCGAGGTGCCGAAGAAGATGGGGATGAAGGCGAGCCAGACGATGCAGGTGGTGTACATGGTGAAGCCGATGGGCTTGGCCTCGTTGAAGGTCTCGGGCACGCCGCGGGACTTGACCGCGTACACGGTGCATGTGACCATGAGCAGGAAGCTGTAGCCCAGGCAGCCGATGAGGGACAGGTCGGACATGTCGCACTTGAGCACCCCCCGGGCCTGCTCCGGGTCCACCGTCCGCTGCTCTTCGTAGTCGATCACACTGTGCGGGGGCTGGGCCCCCAGCCACGCCATCACTCCCACCACCTGCAGGAGCCAATGCCAGGTCAGAGGCCAGCCCTTCCAGGCCAGCCCAGCCCAGTCCCCGACTCAGGCCTGAGTGTGACGCTCAGTGAGAGGCTCCCGGCCCCTGTGTGTGATGCTCAGGCCTGGGGAGCACCAAGAGGGGGCAACAGTCTGGAGGAGGCCCCTGGGCCCCGCCGGCAGGTCAGGGCTGGTTCTGACACCTTCCTCTGGACCCGACATGGCCAGTGCCGCGCCCTGAGCCCGCCCTGAGCCATCTGCGGTGCAGTGAGGCAAGCACAGGTTGCAGGGCCACGGCCCAACCCGCTTCGTCTCTCGGCCTCCGCTCCTGTCTGCAGAATGGAAGCCTTCAAAATCTGTGCCAGGACACGAGGCCATCCTGGGGTAGCTGCTGCAGATGCCCCTGACGGGGGAAGGCCCAGGAGAGCTTTCTTCACACCAGTCCTAGATGGACGGCACCTCTGCTAGGCAGGGGTGGACACACTAGTTTGGCCACATCTGGCCACGTGGCAAGCCTCGTTCCTGAGGACCCTGCCCTCCAAATTCCAGACAACTGTCAGACACGGTACAGTGCAGGTGCGTGCTGCACAGTGACACGGGGAACAGGGAAGTGGGCTTCGGCCACAGGAGACATGACCTTGGGTCGGGGAAGCTAGGGGCCAGAAGCTACGAGGCCGACGCTGGCAGAGGCGGACCCAGAGGGGTTGCCCTGGCATCCGGGCAGGCTGCTCACTGCCCACAGGGCCTGAGCACAGGGCAGGTGATGTTGAAATCTCTCGTCCGGCTGCGCTGTGATCCTGAGCGCGCTGCAAATCCTGGAGGAAGCGGCGTTTAAGCTGCCCACCTGGACCAAGGAGCACCTTCTGTCACCTCCCCAGAGGCAGCAGCTCCATGCGCAGGGGCTGGTAAAGTAAAGCCCTCCCCGTCCAGAAGGCAGCATGGAAGCTCTTGTTAGAACGAGGCTGGGTCGGGGGAGGGGCCTGCAGTGCACGGATGACAACCAGCAGCACTGCCCCGGGTGGCCGCCTGGGCTTGAAGAATCGCGCCCTGCCCATGTCACGGGCGCCCCTGGAGCTGGAGGGGATGAGCAGAGACGCTGACAGGCAAACCCCGGGGCCTCCGCAGGCCCCGTCACCTCGGCGAGGACGCCTCATCCAAAATGCTCGGGACCAGAAGTGTTTTGGGTCCTCTCCAACGTTGTAATATTTGCATATATAATGAGACGTCGTGGGGAGGCTACCCAAATCTAAACATGACGCCCATCATAAATACCACGTCCACACAGCCTGAGGGCATTTCATACGATATTTTATACAGTATTTTTGTAGTATAGTTTTTATGAGGTCAGGTGTGGGATTTTCCACTTGTGGCATCAGAATATGCTGAAAGTTCCAGATTTGGAGTGTCTTGGCTTTCAGATACTCAGCCTGTAGCTATTAAGTGCAGGCAGATGGCGAGAACACGATGCCACGTCGCGCCCTCCACAGGGCATGCGTACCTAGGAGGCCAGGACGTGGCTCCTTCGAAGGCCCATCAGTCCCGAAAGGAGGCGTGATGTGGGAGCCCCAGTGGTGAGGCTGACCGCGAGTTGAGCATGGCCAGCGTTCTAGGCAGGGACGTGGGGCACGTTCGCGGTATGCCCTGAGCACTGCAACCCCAGGCCTGACCGGGGAACTTGGGACTCATCGTCTGGGGAAGGCAGGAGCCCTTTCTAGTCAGGGAGTTGCAGGAGCTGAGGCCACAGGTGGGAATATGCGTGGCGGGCCGAGCTGGGTAGAGCAGAGCTGTCGGCAGGGGAGCGTATGTCACTCAAAACCGGTCGCATCCCCTTCCGCCTGGCCAGGAGAAGGCGGCAGGTCTGCGAGGTCGACACACCCAGCTGCCTGAGCCCTCGGCCTCCTGGTGCGCAGTGCCCAGGAAACACCAGAGCCTCTCAGCCTGGGAGCCACGCGCAGCGCTGGGTCAGGGCTGTCTCCAGAGCCCTGCGGGTCGGCCCTGAATGCACGTTGGGCCATGAGACAGACCGGCCTTTCGGGAGCTGGGGGCTCCGCTCCGGGCAAGTCCCGGCCCCTGTGCCTCGGGGGAATCAGTCGGATATCCCTTCACCCTGTCCCCACACGCGAGACAGCTCGTGGGAGAGCGAGTTCAGTTTATGAGGGCGACCGCATCGTGGTCCAGGAGACAGCCTCTGCCCTCGCTCCGCCTTACCCACCCGTTTGCCTTCAAGGACCGAGTGGGCAAAGGGCCGCTCCCAAATGCGTTCTCATTACGGAAGAGACAGCAGGCCTGCAGGCCTCCCCCGGCCTGTACCATCTCTGTCTACCAGTGTCATCTGTCTGTGTCATCTGCCTCTGTATCTCTGTAGCGTCCGCATCTGCACGTCGGCGTCCGTGTGCCCACGCCTGTCTGCCTGCATGCTCACGTCCATAGCACATACCTTACATCACACACGACGCACACACACACAGGAGCGGCCCTAGAAATGCCACTGCTCTGATATTTAAAGTCGAAGACTCCCAACTCCGGGCGTGCCCCGTGCCCACCTGGCCCCCGTGCCCACCGTCCCCTGGGCAGGGTGCGGACCCACCTGCAGGGAGGAGAGGCCGAAGGTGATGACAAGCTGCGAGGTGGGGCTGATGAAGGGCGGGGGTGTGACCGAGCGCTTCCCCTGCTCGAAGATCCGGTAGATGCGATTGGTCTTGGTGAGCAGGGCCGAGTAGCTGAGGGTGGTGCCCAGGCCCAGGAAGAGCCTGCGGGCAGCGCAGACAGCCGCCCCCGGCTCAGCCACCATGAGGAAGGTGATGGCGTAGATGAGGAAGATGCCGGTGAGGAGGACGTAGCTGAGTTCGCGGCCAGAGGCCCGGACGATGGGTGTGTCGTTGTGCCGCACGAAGGTGGCCACCACTGTGGTGGTGGCCATGATGCCCAGCACAGCCAGGAGGAGGGGCGGGGCCGCCCAGGGGGAGGACCAGCCCAGGCGGACCACAGGCGTGGGGCGGCAGCCCGTGTGGTTGGGCGTGGGCCTCATGTCCCCGGGACAGGCCTCACACGTGAACTCGTCCACCTGGAAGCGGTACCCGTCACAAGGCTCACAGTGCCAGCAGCAGGGGACGCCCTTCACCATCTTCTTCCGCTCGCCCGGCCCACAGGGGAGGCTGCACAGGGACTGGGGCACCTCGTGGGCGTCACCTGACCACTGCAGGGCTTCCACCTGGGACGGAGGGAGACGGCCGGTGGGCTGGGCCAGCAGGGCTCGGGGGCCATCTGCTGCACCCGGAGCTCGGGCATGCCACTCACGTCCAGCCTGAGGACCTCCGCCCACTGGCCCACGGCCTGGTACCCGCCGCTGCTGGCACTGCCGTTGGTCGCCTGGTACTGGAAGATGTCGTAACGCCCGGGCGCGTCTCCGTTCTCATTGAACATCACGGGGGTTCCTGCGCTGCCTGTGGGGACAGCCCGTCACCCGCAGCTGGAGCTGCAGCCCACCCAAGCCAGCCTCCTGGAGGCCTCGGGGACCAGCCAGGACGAGCAGCTCTGCGAGCCACTGGCCAAGGAGAGCCCTTCCACCACGGAGGGGCCCATGCCACCTCCCACCAGGATGGCTGCTGCCAGCAGGCGGGAAATGACACAAGGGTTTGGAGGAACGGGGACCCTGGAGCTTGTACAGCCTCTGTGGGCATCAGTACAGCAGATCCTCAGAAACCACGACTAAAGTCACCATCCGACGCAGCGCCGCTCCGGGCTGTGTACCCAGAAGGCGTGCGTCAGCGGGGGCGCAAAGGGGCGTCAGGAGGCAGCATGCCCCAGGTGTCTGTCCACAGACTAGTGTGAAAGGCAGTGTGGCTCTGGGCCCAGCGGGCACTACTCAGACACATGCTACTGCTGGACGAACCCGAGGGCACGATGCCACGTGAAACGAGCCAGCCCCAGAGGACCACACCGTAGGAGCCCACGCATCCGAGGGCCTGGAGTGGTCAAATCCAGAGACAGAACGCAGACCGGCAGCTGCAGGGCTGCTGATTAGCAGATTTGGAGATTCGGGTTTGCAAGACGCAAAGAACCCTGGAGCTGGAGAGTGGTAGCCACTGCTGGAGCACAGAATGCATTTAATGCCACTAACTGGACACTTAAAACTGATAGAGATGGCAAATTCCAAGTTTTGTGTATTTTACTGTAATTATAAAAGATGAGAGAAAGCCTAACTACCCAGGCTGGAGAAGGGGCAGACCGGTCGGAGTGGCGCTGGCGCTGACTCGAATGGTCAGCGTCCTCGGCTCTGAGCTCCCCAGGCTGCAGAGCTGGTCTGGAGAAGGGGCAGGCTGTTGCTTGGCAGAGTGTGGCAGAGGGGAGGTGCCCGGGTGACGGTGGGAGAGCAGAGTCTGACTTTATAAACAAATGTAACTGAACAGAAGTGCTCTCTCCCTGCACTGAAAGCACAGCCCGATCCACTGGGGTCTTTCTGGAAACACTGTGTGCCCTGACCTTGTGCTAGACCTTCTGCTGGTGCCAGAGGGACATGCCAGATACCCACGCGCTGTGCTCTGGCAGTTCAGGGCTGAGCTGGGGTGTCCTGAAGCCCGTGACTCAGGGGCAGCACGGCCACAGCCAGGGCCCCCGTGGTCTTACCTGTGCCCCAAGCACGCCAGAGTCCAGTCCTCTAAGCGTGTGCACCGGAGGGGAAAGCCGTGTGTGACCTGCTGAAGGTTCCAGGCTGAAGGGACCACACTGAATTTTGCAATTTGAGGCAGCGGTGCTGAAGCCTGCAGACGGGGGACCAGCTCTGGGCCTGAGTCTCTGACCACCGTCACGCCACTCTGCACTCACCGTTGAAGCGGACGGCCCGGATGTACTGCAGCAGCGTCCGCCCGTCGGTGGGCTCCATGGCCGCGCACAGGCCTGTGTGCCCAGGACAGAGCGCCTGATGCATGCTGTGGAGGGCGTGGGCAATGGCGTACACAGCGTCGATCACAAACTGCACCTTGCCCTCCTGCTCGTAGGTAGAGTCCCGGCCAATGCGTTCCTCGCCTGTCCTAGGGATGCCCAGAGGAAGTGCGCCAGGCCCCCACGCAGCCGCCGGGCCTCCGAGCCCCCACCCCGGGCAGCTCTCACCTGTGCACTTGCGGGCGGAGCCATCCGGCTGGGAACCCGAGCTGGTCAGTTTGCAGTTGAAGTTCTCTTCCCAGAACTCGGCGAACCAGATGTTCCGGCGGTTGTTCTCCAGAGAGCGGGTCATGAAGTACTGGTCGAACCCTAGGAGCGAAGTGGGGCGGAGGCGGCCGTCTGAGCCACCGTGGTTTCCCTCGCTTTGCCACTGGCTCGTGCTGCGGCTAGTCGTGACCATGTGACCGAGATCTGGCTGGTGAGTTCAAAGCCAACTGGAGGCACCAGGGCGACCTGCACCCTGAGGCAGTCTTGAAGTCTCACCACTTGAAAGACGTCTCTCTCTCACTCTCTCTTTTGAGAGAAATTTTTGTTACAGGGCAAGCGTACTTGCCAGAGAGGCAGAAAGCGAGAAATCACCCCTGAAGGGGGATGGTCACACCGCAATCCCTTCTCCATTTTCCTCTTGGGATTTTGGGCTTGCACGCACACGCGCCCAGTGTGAATTTCAAGCCAGGTCCGGGACTCCACCCGCTGTCAGCCACGTGGGAGTCCAGCAGTGTAACCATTACGCCATCTGCCGGTCCCATCTCTTGCCTCTCTTTCCTAGTTAGGATGCCGCTGTGAAGATGCATGGGTGGAGATCCAGCAGGCATCTTACAGCAGGTAACGAGAGCCCCGCGACACACGGCCACCATGGAGGGTGGCGCCCCGGGCCTCGAGGACACCACTGACTCGCGCCCCACATCCCAAGTCCCCACTGGCAGCCCGCTCGTTTTTATGGTGAAATGCACGTCCAGCGTGGCACTTCCGAGTAAATGCATGCAAACTGAAAGGAGGCCCCTGGGGACGAGGGCTCAGGCTCTGCAAGGCTCTGGGCTTCATGGGCTGGCCCCGAAGCATGTCCTCAGGGCGCCCTCAGTTCAGCCCTTGGGGAAAAGAGCCAAGCTACTGTAAGGTGAGCCCCCCGCTGGCAACCCCGGAGGCTGACAGATGGGGTGCGGGGAGTTGGGGGTGAGTGGCCTCACTGCTTGATCAACAGGACGCTCCATGTCCTTGGTTTCTCTCCCTCCCTCCTCACCTCCAAATGAGGGTGTCTTCGGTAGAACCAGAAATACAAGCACTAAATTAAAACACAAGGGACCAGCAGATGGCATAACGGTTGCATCACTGGACTCCCATGTGATCGACCATGGTTCGAGTCCTAGACCTGGCAGCTTAAACTCGCCAGGTGCATGTACGTGCATGTCCAAAATTCCAAGAGGAGAATGGAGAAGGGATTGCAGCGTGGCCACCCCCCCGGAAGGGGGTTACTTCTCACTTTCTGTCTCTGTCTCTCCAGGGAGCGCATGCCCTATACCAAAAATTCCTCTTTAAAAACACAGACACAGAACAGCCCTCCAGCCTGCGCGTAGGCAGAGTGCACTTCCCTCGCTCGCCCCACTCGGCATT